CACTTTGCGCGTCCTCCATACATTCGAACAGACAGACGATGTCATCGGCGTACTCCAAATCGCACAGCTTTTCTCCAGCTGTCCATTCATTACCTACCTACGTTTTGGAGTCCCATCAGAACTTCGCGGTCAACTGAGTCGAAGGCTCCTTTCAGGTCAAGGAACACTGCGATGGTTGGCCGACGGTGAGTATGACGCAGCTCAAGGAGCTGACGCAATGTAAAAAATCTGATCAATACCTCCACGGCCAGGCCGGAATCCGGCTTGCTTTCACGGATGTTGGCCTCTCTTAAAGGTGTCAGACGTCGAAGTATAACCGAAGCTAGCACTTTGGTGACGATCGGGATCAAACTTATCCCGCGGTGGTTTTCGCAATCGTTGCGGGATCCTTTCTTAAAAATGGGAACGATCAGTGATTCGCCCCAAGATGAAGGAATGCGCTCTTGCATCCAAATGTTGCGCAGTAGCGTAGTAATAGAGGTTACGAGGTAATCACCTCCCATCTTGAAAAGAGTGGGAGGGAGCTCATCAGGTCCTGTTGCCTTTCCTCGCTTCAGAGCTTGATTGCAAGACCGAACTTCTGCTTCCGTTGGAAGATCGCATGACACTGCCCACGGAGCTTCAGTCGGAGATGAAGCAGCCTGGTTAGCACTAGACCAGCTGAACTGTTCGTTGAAGTATTCTGCCCAGCGTTGATCCCTATTGTGAACAGCTCGTCCCCTCTTATTGCAGACTGTTTCACTAACTGGGGTTCGCCGACCTCCCGTATTGCGTACCAGTCGGAACAGTCTTGGACTATTCCCTGATGCAGCTGCTATTTCCATTTCACTAGCTATTGTTGCCCACCAGTTCTCACGGTCCTTCTTAAGGCTCTTCGTGAACCGACGTTGTAGCTGCCGCCTAACTCTATTTTGATCCTGGCAGGTCGGGACTTGCCGCTCTTGCTCCATCAGGACTACTGACTCCTGATATATTCAATGCCTCCGACGGGTTTGAGGCTCAGACTCACAAGCAACATTCGCTGCGGAATGCATTGCTCGCCTAATCTGATACCACTGCTCGTCTACATCACCACGCTGAAGCGCACTTAGCTTACGCACTAGCTCTGACTCAGCGTGAACGAACGGCTGGAGCAGATAGTCGATGATGAGCCATCCAAGTTTGCTAGCTTTGTCGCCGACCAGTCAGTCGGAGAGTGAACTGCATCAAAACTAGCTCGTTGGGTCAGAGGTGCACAAGCCAGCACACCAAGTCAAGGTGCAGTCTCTTCGTCAGTTTGCGAAGGGCCTCATGAAGGACCGCGAAAACTGGTGGATTAAAAACAGCTAGTGAAAAGGAATTAGCCACAGTTTCAACCGATACGCAACACCTACGATCGGCGAATCCCAGTTAGTGAAAAAATCTGGACAGAAGTGGACAAGCTATTCACAATAGGAAACAATAGTTGTACGGTTTGGCGGATTATTTCAACGAACTGTTCAGTTGGCCTGGCGCTGGCAAGATTACCTCTTCTATCGAAACTGGACCTTTGCAACTGGTGTCATATGAACCTCTCGAAGAAGCGAAGGTACGACCTTGCATTCAAACTATCAAGAAAAGAGCAACTATACCTGATGGGTTTCCTTTCACGCATTTCAAGACACTGCAATGTATCTGGTCGCAATAGGACACTCCACCATCTTGGGGCAAATCACAAATCACTGATGATGATTTTCAAAAAGGCATCTTGCACGCCATTGCGAAAACACTAATTCTAGTCGTCACCAGCCTCGACCCCCATTACACATCAACGAATGACGAAATTAAGAGTACATATGTAAATATAACAATCAAACAGGGCCCGAAATGACTCAGGTCTAAGAACACTAATGGTATGCCGAATTGGTGTGCCACTTTCCGTACTGCACAGCCAAAAACTGCCCACCGTTATGGCATAAATCCGCCCAACCCCTTGGCAGTAATAGCTTGGTTCAAGATAACCTTAAGGAAAAACATCCTAAGAAGGTATACTGAGACGGTGGTATCAGTCGATCAGAATCGAACTCAATGTCCATACAAAGATCAAAGAATGTTAAGCAAAGTATTAGACTAACCTTTTTGCGTAATTTACCACGAATGTGACATAACCGCTTCACCCCGTCGAAGCAATAGGCCTCAAGCCGGCCGTTGCCGAGAAGACGTTCCACTTTTGCATATTCTGTGGTTGAGTAGGAAAACACAGTGTTATCTCTCAGAAGGTAACAAGAATTGATTTTTATTGTCGTACGTAACGCCCGGTTGGCAAATGCAAACGGTCACAAACGGTGTCTACTAAGATCACATACTGACGTCGAGGGGGAGTACGTTATATCAAGCAGTACTAGAAGGAATCCTTCATGATTAACGACAAAATAGGCTTCCATAAACTTAGAAGCATTTTGAGTACACGTGAAAAAGTGCTCAACAACAGTGAGCATAATTTCCTGCACCACGTTCCAATGACGTTTAGGGGACTAACCGCTGTTTCGCCTATAAAATGTTTATTCTGGTCGCCATCCATTGACGCCATAGTCTCCAGTTTCAACAAGAATGTTGTGATTAAAGCTCTGAGTAAATTGTTGGATGGTGCGGATAAATCGAATCCTTTGTTCAAGACAGATTGTATCACTGAGCACCTAAGACGGTCGTACATTCGACCGATGACGCATATACCAGCATTCAAATTTCGATATACTCAGAAGCGCAAAATATACACAACAGAAAGACTGTTGGCATGAACTTTCAAACAAACACCTGTAAAATTCGCAACGAGGGATTATGAAACCGGAGTGCGCACGGAAACAGAACCGGTAATAGTTCGGTCCATGTAATAAAAAATGTCTTTCTGGGGGAAAAATAAACACAATCATGATAAATCAAGGATTACACTGCGAAATAACGTTGGTAATCCAATAGAGTTCCCCACCTTGACCATCTTCCTTGTAGATCAGTTCACGCTTTTGACTTTCATTTTCATTCTTTCCACGTCGACGATTTTTGCCACCTTTCCCTGTACAGCAAGTTGAATGAGCACAGTGAATAATAGGAAAACAAACCCTTATTCTTCGGCATGTTGCGTGCGTTTTCGCGCCAGGAACGAAAGTGCTCAGTGAATTAGTCCGTTCCGTGCTCCTGTATTCAAATCAGATTCAAATTCAGGTCAGGTTAGGTTGCACAGGAAGGTAGAGGCTTTCGCCTATCGAGCGTCCAGATTCTTGCTCCAGTCGGAAACACGTCTTCCGGAGCTTCGACTTCTTGTCGGCCGTTTGACCACAGTCGATTTCTTTGTTTCGAACTGTCTCCCTTGGCGCGTCCGTACCTGCAAAGGGAGGTTATTTGAAAAAGAGCAGCATAGACACCTACTTCCAGGTACCCTACATGATCTCTGGATATGTTTTGATGTCTTGAAGTCTTGAAGTGACTCTCGGGTTCAAGGCTGGCGCCCAATGGTCCGGAATCCTTGATGGTTTCTTGTCGGATGTTCTTGGGCAGTGCAACTGGAAAATCAGAGAAAACTGGAGAGGAAATTATCGTCTTGCCCGGGAACTAGCCATGCTGGCGAGGCATAAATAACTGGATGATGGCTACCGTAAATACAGAAAATAAAAACTAAAAAAGTGGGTTTTTTGTTTCTTTTGTTGTTGTTTTGTTGTGTTTATGTTTGTTTTAATTTTGTATTTTTACCTTTTTATTTTTTTAAATTTCGAAGGGGGACTCAAGAGGAGACAACCATACCTAGATACTTATCAAGTCCAGACTTGAATGACAGGACAGGACAGGACAGATCACAGGACTTGCGGCGGAGCCAGAAGCAGTCCAGTTTCTTGCACCAATGAGCTTGGGAGCACCACGGCGCTGCGACAATTGTAT